TATTACCTTTTAACAAAATTTTATCTGAAATTTCTCTACAACTGAAAACCTGGAACGTAAATGTAACGTTTAGTAATTCTTGCATTGTAAAACAAATGTTAATTAAGAACTTCCCAGCAATGCAGGTGGCTACATTTGCAAGGTTACTTGCAAGGAATGTAATATGTTTTACTTTGGTCAGACGGACAAAGATCTTATGACTACACTTAAACAGCATAAATATAGTGTTAGGACTGGCTAAGAATCCAATGCTTTGTTAATTCATAAGAGAGATAATAATCATTGCATTGACTGGGATAATGCCTCCTCAATCTTACCTTGTAATTAAATTATCAGTAGGAACATTATAGAATCTAGACTCATTAAACATACCGAATATGTCAACTTGAATTTGAGTAATGGCGTGTACAAACTGGACAATTTTGTGATTAAGAAATTTGTAACCAGGTGAAAGGGTTGGATAACTACTTAATGACTTGAATATGGTTAGCACCTGCTGTGTCTAGGAACTTGATTTCACTCTCCTTTACTGTATATATTGGACTTGTTATTACTTATTATATATTTATGAATTGTCTCCTTTGATTTATATACGTATTAGTATACAAAAAGAGCATTGCGTATATTGGTTTTAACATGAGCCAAGGCATCTTTAAACATATATATTACTCAATAATAATAGAAATAATATTGGCAAGAATCAAATTAATTAAACCGTTTTCTAATAAATACAAGAATTCAGTTACCCAAAATCAGACTAGCCAGGAATAAACCTTGGATCAGTTGATGTCCACTCACCAGATGTATAGAGAATCATGCTCCTCTTCCTTTCTTCACCCTACACACACACAGTAATTTTGACACTTTACATCTAAGACTGTACAATTTACGTGAGGTGTTGTCGCCTGGAACAGCTACATTATTTAATGGCAATTACAATTTCAATTTCAATTACAAAACTGTTATGATTACAAGCTTTACCTATGTTCGAAGATCATATTTAGGCTTGAATTAATAAGCAAACACATTTTATGCCACACCACACTTTCCAGGCACCATCTGCACCTACTACCTGACTCATTCACTCAACACTGACAACCTCACTCGTCAGAAACTACATGTACAGTTACTCACACTCACCCACAGACACTCATTCAGTCACCCAGACACTCACCATAAAACATAGACAACAGCAAACACTGCTCAGTCACTCGCTCACAGACACTCATTCACTCATCCATAGTGACAAACTCGCTCATACATTGACTCACTAACTCGAACGTGTGTGAAGTGTATAGGACGTTTTATTCGCACCCATTATTTTTTTTTTTACAGGAATTAGCCCACCCGGGCACAGGTCAAACGACCCACAACGGGGTAAATGAATTTATCTTAAACAGCAAATTACATTGACAATTACTTTTTACTTTCAAAGTTCAATTACGATTATTAATTGATCCAAGCCTGGTGGATTCCCCCCATTGAAATTTTCTGTCCTGGATAATCTTTGATTTAAGCAATAGTAGTAGTAATCGTACAATTATTACTATCATTATTATTAGTAGTAGTAGTAGTAATAGTAGTAGTAGTAATAGTAGAAATAGGTGTTACTTAAAAGGCGTGGTGGAAACCAGTGAAGTAAACAAGATTCGACGGTCCATTTCGACAGAATGACAGCACAGCCAAAGTGATAAGTTGCAGCAACTGATGCTGCAAGTACCAGCGAATTTGAAAAACAAAAATAGCTATAGCGCAGGAGGTGGGCGCCTCGAACTGGTTAACTACGTTACCGATAAGGGTAAATGGTTTCAGTCTTAATAAACAAGAATTTACAAATTCTTCGATCACGCCATGGTGTGCAAGAAAGGGGGCTTCATATGCATGAGGCATGACGAAGTAAGGGATCTCACTGCAAATATGTTGAAAGAAATATGTCATGATGTCAGGGTAGAACCGACCCTCCTTCCATTGGACGGTGAGAATTTCCAACATAAGACTTCAAACACATCCAACGAAGCCTGTGTGGATGTCAATGGTCGATGATTCTGGACGCCGGGACAGCAAACCTTTTTTTATCCAATCGCAGCATGTCACCGCAACCTAGCTCTCGATGCTGTTCACAGGAGGAACGAGAACGACAAGACTAGGGCATATGGGGAGAGAATTCAGAACGTTGATCAGGGCAGCTTCACTCTTCTGGTGTTCACAACCTCTGGCGGGATGGGACCAAGTGCAAGACGCTTCTACACCAGACTCGCGTAGCTGTTATCTGAACTTAACCAGCTGCCCAGAAGTTATGTTACAGCCTGGTTGAGATGTCGACTGTCCTTCTCTCTGCTTAGGTCGGCTTTGCTCTGCCTCAGGGGAACGAGAGCATCGGCCCCGATAACAGTTGCAGATATTGACTATGAGGCAACAGTCGCTGAATGCCTCATAGATCTGCGGGTAAACTAACTCAACACAGCTATGCTAGCTACTTATGTATTAGGATATTTATTTTTAAGATAATAAAATGGCGGCGAAGGTGTGGCTATAGGGGGACGATGGAGGCCATTGTATAAAAAAAAAAAAATAGTGGTAGGATTAATATTAGCAACGTGGTGTGGCGGGGGTGAGACGGGTGGCATCCAGTCTGACTCCAACGAATGCATCACGCACCTGTGAACCCCCTGAGTAGGTATTTTTTTTATAATTATTCGAGAATTTATGACTAACTCACTAAAGGCGCTAGTTTTGTTAGAGAGCCCGACAGTGCCGTGGTGTATAATTTGAGTGCGTCTAATTTTATTAGTTTTCTTTTTTGTGTGTGTGGAGAAGGAAGGGGTGAAAGAAAGATTAGAGTTGGGGGAAGGTAGTTAATAATTCTGAGATTGAAGAAACTTAGGAGGAGGTAGATGGAGACGGGCTACAGGTTGGCTAAGCTAATATTGTGTTTAGGTTGTGTCCAGGGCTAGTTATTATGGTTGGTTTTCTTAAAGCTGTTTTCTGGCTGGCTGGTCGCTCTGTCGGCACAGGTACTAGAGAGCCTACCATATCATATAGACTATATGGGTGTTTTGAGGGTCATATTTTATATTCCGCCGACCCTACTGGAAGATGTTGGTTTATGCTGGTTGTCTATTGCCTGGTCGTATAGATCGGGGATCCCGGTAATGGAGTTCTTGAGGTTTGGCAACTTTTTGGGAACCATCTTTGGTAGTTGTCATCTTTGTTGTCTGGTGAGAGTTTTTGTAGGAGTTCTTGCTTTGGTCGTTCTATCTTGGGGTATCTTTCACCTGTGACGAGTCTCAAGACTTCGTTTTGGACCAGCTGTAATTCTAATAATTGGATGGTGCTCTTAGTATGAAGAGATAGTGATGGGTAAATTAATATCGGTATGATAAAATTGATTTAACCAAATGGAGTTTTATTTTCTCAGGAAGCGTGTTAAAGCGGTGTAGTATTTTTGCTCTCTTTTTGAATTTTGTTTTTCCTGGTGAGGACATGATGGGCGTAGCCTGTCGAGCATATATTCAGGCCCAGAAGGGTGCCTCTGCTTATGTATTCTGCATGGCATAATTGCTTATTAATGGTGGGATTTTCCTTCTACATAAGGGTATCACTGTGAATTTGGGAAGACTGGTTTGGATTTTCCAATCGCCTTCGTAGTTATTTACCCCTTCTATTCCTTACCTGTTGATGTCGAATCTGTGCTCGTGATTTTCTGGATGTGTTGTTATTGAGTAATGTCATGTGTAGAAATAAAATCTGTGTTTTCTATTCTAGTAGGAGGCGGGGTATCACTTGAGTAGATGATACTGTATATCGGGTGGGAGAAAGGACGCTGCCCTGGGGAACTCCGTTCATTAGTGGGAAGGTCTCTCCTGTGTGTTGTTCCACTCTCAGTCTTGTGTTTCTCCCTCTAAGAAAGTTGCAAAGCAGCTTTTCTATGTTGGCGGGTAGTCCAAGTTGGAGGATTTTTTATTTTAGACCTTCATGCCACACTTTGCCTAACGCCTTCGCTACGACCTGAAGACTTAGGTTATATTGGCTACCACTCTCTGTTGAGGTGGACTTCCCTTTCCTGAACCCAAATTGTATGCAATTGATTCTGTTGGTCGTTTCCAGGTGATTTATCATACGATTATTGATGATTTTTCAAGGATGTTTCCAGATACTTCGAGGAGGCAGATCTGTCTGTAATTTAGTGGGACGGCTGGATTTTTTCCTTGGTTTGAGGTGAGGATATTAATGGCTTCTTTGAATTTTATTGGGAAATATCCCGAGGCCAGGCAGAGTCTCATCGTAGTTATCAGTTTCTCCAAAGCCGGGTTGTGAAGGACAACACCCCTGGTGCTCCTACTGTGAGGGACAACACCCCTCGTGCTTCTAATGTGCAGGACAACCCCCTTAGTGTTTCTAATGTACAGGAAAAAACCCTGGCGCGTCTAATGTGCAGGACAACACTCCCGATTCTTCAAATGTGCAGCACAACATCCTGGTGCTTCTAATATGCAGGAAAAATCCCTGGTGCTTCTAATATAAAGAACAGCACCCATGGTGATTCTAATGTGTAGGACAACACCCCTGGTGCTTCTAATGTGCAGGACAACACTCATGGTGCTTCTAATATACCGGACAACACCCATATACTTATAATGTGCAGCACAACACCCCTGATGCTTCTAATGTTAGAGACAACATCACTGGTGCTTCTAATGTGCAGGACAACACCCCTGGTGCTGCTAACACGAAGGACAACATCCCTGGTACTTATAATGTGCAGAACAACACTTCTGGTGCATCTAATTTTAAGGACAACATCCCTGATACTTATAATTTGCAGGACAACACCCCTGGTGCTTCTAATATAAAGGAAAACACCCCTGGTTCTTCTAATGTGCAGGAGAACACCCTTGGTGTTTCTAATATGCAAGACAACACCCTTTGAATCTGCTAATATAAAGGACAACACCCCGGGTGTTTCTGATATAAAAGACAACACCCCTCATATTGCTAATATGAAGGACAACACCTATGGTGCTTTTAATATAAAGGACAACACCCCTGGTGCTTCTAATATAAAGGACAGCACGTCTGGTGTTGCTAATATGAAGAACAACACCCCTGGTGTTGCTAATATAACGGACATCATCGCTGATGTTGATATTATGAAAAACAACACCCCTGGTGTTGCTAATATAAAGGAAAACACCCCTGATGCTCCTTGTGATAAGGACAACACCCCTGGTGCTTCTAATGTGCAGGACAATACCCTTGGAGCTGCTAATAAGGACAGCACCCCTTGTACTTATAATGTGCAGGACAACACCCCTGGTGCTTCTAATATGAAGGATAACACCCCTGGTGTTTCTAATATAAAGGACAGCAACCCTGGTACTTATAATGTGCAGGACAACACCCCTGGTGCATGTAATATAAAGGACAACACCCCTGGTGTTTGCAATATAAAGGACAACACCCGTGGTGCTTCTAATATAAAGGACAACACCACTGGTGCTTCTAATATAAACGACAACACCGCTGGTGTTGCTAATATAAAGGACAACACACCTTGTGCTTCTAATGTGCAGGACAACCCCCTCTGGTCTTTCTAGTGTGCAGAACAATACCCCTGGTACTTATGATGTGAAGGACAACACCCCTGGTGCTTCAAATGTTAAGGACAACAGCCTGGTGCTTATAATATAAAGAACAACATCCCTGGTGCTTTTAATGTGCAGGACAACACCACTGGTCTTTCTAATGTGCAGGACAACGACCCTGGTACTTATGATGTGAAGGACAACACCCAAGATGCTTCAAATGTTATGGACAACACCCTGGTGCTTCTAATGTGCAGGACAACCCCCTCTGGTCTTTCTAGTGTGCAGGACAACACCCCTGGTACTTATAATGTGCAGGACAATACCCCTGGTGCTTGTAATATAAAGGACAACACCCCTGGTTCTTGTAATATAAAGGACATCACCCGTGGTGTTTCTAGTATAAAGGACAATACCCATGGTGTTTCAAATGTTAAGGGCAACACCCTGGTGCTTATAATATAAAGAACACCATCCCTGGTGCTTCTAATGTGCAGGACAGCATCCCTGGTCTTTCTAATGTGCAGGACAACACCCCTGGTACTTATAATGTGAAGGACAACACCCATAATGCCTCTAATATAAGGGATAACACCCCTGTTGTTGCTAACATGGAGAACAACACCCGTGATGTTTCTCATATGAAGGACAACATCCTTAGGGCCTCTAATATAAAGGAAAACACCCTTGTTGTTGCTAATATGGAGGACAACACTCCTGTTGTTGCTAATATGAAGGAGAACACCCTTGATGTTTTTCATATGAAGGACAACATCCCTGCGGCTTCTTATATAAAGGAGGACACCCCTGGTGCTTGTAATGTGAAGGCCAACACCCCTGGTACTTATAATGTGCAAGACAACACCAATGGTGCTTTTAATATAAAGGACAAAACCCCATGTGTTGCTAATTTTAAGGACAATATGTCTGGTGCTTGTAATGTGAGAGACAACACCCCTGGTACTTATAATGAGCAAGTCAACACTCATGGTGCTTCTAATATAGAGGAGAACACCCCTGGTGCTTGTAATGTGAGGGACAACACACTTGGTACTTATAATGTGCAAGACAACACCCCTGGTGCTTGTAATGTGAAGGACAACACCCCTGGTACTTATAATGTTCAAGACAACACCCATGGTGCTTCTAATATAAAGGACAACACCCTTGGTGTTGCTAATTTAAAGGACAACACCCTTGGTGTTGCTAATTTAAAGGACAACACCCCTGGTACTTATAATGTGCAAGACAACACCCATGGTGCTCCTAATTTAAAGGCCAACCCCCATGGTACTTAAAATGTGCAAGACAACACCCGTGGTGCTTCCAATATAAAGGACAACACCCCTGGTGTTGCTAATTTAAGGGACAACACCCCTGGTACTTCTAATGTGCAAGACAACACCCATGGTGTTGCAAATTTAAAGGACAACGTCCAAGGTGCTTCTAATTTAAAGGACAACACCCATGGTGCTTTTAATATAAAGAGCAACACCCCTGCTACTTATAATATGCAGGACAACACCCCTGGTGCTTCTAATGTGAAGGACAACACCCCCGGTACTTCAAATGTGAACAACACCCCTGGTACTTCTAATATAAAGAACAACACCCCTGGTGCTTCTAATATAAAAGACAAAACCCCTGGTGCTTCTAATGTAAAAAACCCCATCCCTGGTGTTGCTAATTTAAAGGACAACACCCCTGATGCTTCTAATGTGCAGGACAACAGCCCTGGTGCTTTTTAATATAAAACACATCACCCATGGTGTTGCTAATATAAAGGACCACACCCCTGGTGCTTCTAATATAAAGGACAACACCCATGGTGCAGCTAATATAAAGGACAACGCCCCTGTTGCTTCTAATATAAAGGACAACACCCCTGGTGCTTTTTAATATAAAGCACATCACCCATGGTGTTGCTAATTTAAAGGACCACACCCCTGGTGTTGCTAATATATAGGACCACACCCCTGGTGTAGATAATATAAACGACCACACCCCTGGTGCTTCTAATATGAAGGACAACACCCCTGATGTTTCTCATATGAAGGACAACACCCCTGGGGCTTCTAATATAAAGCACAACACCCCTGGTGCTTTTTAATACAAAAGACAACACCCCTGGTGCAGCTAACATAAAGGACAACACGCCTGGTGTTACTAATATAAAGGACAACACGCCTGGTGTTGCTAATATAAAGGACAACACCCCTGGAGCTTCTAATATAAAGGACATCACCCATGGTGCTTCTAACGTTAAGGACAACACCCCTGGTGCTTCTAATATAAGGGACAACCCCTGGTGCAGCTAACATAAACGACAACACCCCTGGTGCTTCTAATATAAAGGACAACACCCCTGGTACTTATAATGTGCAGGACATCACCCCAGGTGCTTCTAATATAAAGGACAACACCCCTGGTGCTTCTAATGTGAGGGACAACACCCCTGGTACTTATAATGTGCAGGACATCACCCCTGGTGCTTCCAATATAAAGGATAACACCCCTGGTGCTTCTAATATAAAGGATAACACCCCTGGTGCTTCTAATATAAAGGATAATACACCTGGTGCTTCTAATATAAAGGATAACACCCCTGGTGCTTCTAATATAAAGGATAACACCCCTGGTGCTTCTAATATAAAGGATAACACCCCTGGTGCTTCTAATATAAAGGATAACACCCCTGGTGCTTCTAATATAAGGGATAACACCCCTGGTGCTTCTAATATAAAGGATAACACCCCTGGTGCTTCTATTGTGAGGGACAACACCCCTGGTACTTATAATGTGCAGGAGATCACCCCTGGTGCTTCTAATATAAAGGACAACACCCCTGCTGCTTCTAATATAAAGGACAACACCCCTGTTGCTGATAATATAAAGGCCAACACCCCTGGTGTTTCTAATATAAAAGACAACACCTCTGGTGCTTTTAATATAAGGGACAACACCCCTGTTGCTACTAATATAAAGAACAACACCCCTAGTGTTGCTAATATAAAGGACAACACCCCATGGTGCTTCTAATGTAAAGGACAACACCCCATGGTGCTTCTAATGTAAAGGACAACACCCCTGGTGCAGCCAATATAAAGGACAACACCCCTGGTGTTGCTAATATGAAGAACAATACCCCTGATGCTTCTAATGTGAAGAACAACACCCCTGGTGCTGCATGTGTTGAAGGAAAACACCCCTGATGCTTCTATTGTGAAGGACAACACCCCTGATATTGCTAATATGAAAGACAACACCCCTGATGCTTCTAATGTGTTGGGCAACACCCCTGGTGCTGCTGGTGTGAAAGACAACACCCCTAATGCTTCTAATGCGAAGGACAACACCCCTGGTGCTGCTAGTGTGAAGGACAACACTCCTAATGCTTGTAATATGAAGGACAACACCCATGGTGCTACTAGTGTGAAGGACAACACCCTTGGTGCTGGTAATATGAAGAGCAACGCCTCGGGTGCTACTAATATAAAGGACAACACCCCCGTTGTTGCTAGTATGAATGAAAACACCCCTGGTCGTCTTCTCTCAACTTTACCCAACAACGTCAGCTAGAGAAGGTACAGAAAAGGGCCTGCAGAATCATGCTCGGCGCAAACTACTCAGGCTACAACAACTCTCTCTCCACCCTGGAAATATCATCCATCAGTGACCTCCACCACCAAGCATTAGCAAGGTTTGGCAGTGGACTACTGCACCATTCTCGTCATCGCCACCTCCTGCTACCGGCAATACCCCGCCCACCTCGCGCAGTCCGCCACTCCAACAAAATTTAGCCCATAAGAGCCCGCACTGATTGATATAAGAATAGCACCATCCCATCTATTGTTAAAAATAATAAACAACTCCTGATTTATGTACTGTACAGCCCTGCAAATGCATTTAACACATATCATTATTTCAAAATCAAATGTAAGTTTGTATATTTTCAGCTGCAACTCTATTAATAAACCGTGTGTTATTATTATTATTATTATTATTATTATTATTATTATTATTATTATTATTATTATTATTATTATTACTATTATTATTATTATTGTTATTATCATTATTATTATGAAGGACAACACCCCTGGTGCTTCTAATGTGAAGGACAACACCCTGGTGCTGCTAGTGTGAAGGACAAAACCCCTTGTACGGCTTGTGGTGAAGGACAATACCCCTTGTACTGCTTGTGGTGAAGGACAATACCCCTATTAATACTAATGTGAAGGACAACACCCCTGGTGTTGCTAATATGAAGGACAACACCCCTGGTGGTGTTAGTGGTGAAGGACAACACCCCTGGTGCTGCTAGTGTGAATGGCAACACCCTGGGTGCTGGTTATGATACATATCAGAATATTTACAGTAGACACTGCAAAGGATTTTTTTTCACAATATTATTAGTGACCACCTAAGTGTATTGAGTCACAGATATCTAACCTAATTCGTTTATGCCATATTTAAGAAAAACACATTGTCACCCCTGTGGCGTTATGTCAGCACTTATAACAGCATTGTGTGGTGAGGATACCAAGCTGACACATCAAAATTGCATAAAAAGTCACACACATGTGACTTCCTTTCACCTGTTGTAATCGCTGATGAAGATTCTGTAGAGTCAGTATTAAAGGTACACTAGAAGTAACACACATAAACGTTTATGGTTTAAGTTTTCAAACCCAAATAAACTATTGTACAATAACTAGGATATCACCGTAATCTAATATTCTATAGGAATAGCCGTGTGTCTGTCTGTCTGTCTGTCTGTCTGTCTGTCTGTTTGTCTGTCTGTTCTGGGCAGACGAAATGGCACAATCGTTTTTCATCAAACTTGGTGGAAAAATCGTAGAGTGGAACAAACCTAGTCCCATGTCGATGGTTTCTTTAGGAAGGCATTAATTAACCATTTTATTTACGGTGGAAAACGATGCAAGTCTACGGACTTGGCGCACCCTAATTAACCATGCAAGTCTACGGACTTGGCGCACCCTCATTCGGTTGCGCGCAAACCAAGCAGGAGCGTTCAAACTTTCACCAGGCACGAAGGGCCAGCGATCACTTGTCTAATATACTATAGGACTGGCCGTGTGTCTGTCTGTCTATCTGTCTGTCTGTCTGTCTGTCTGTTCTGGGCAGCCGAAACGGCACAATCATTTTTCATCAAACTTGGTGGAAAAATCGCAAAAAATTCGTAGAGTGGAGCAAACCTTGTCCCATGTCGATGGTTTCTTTTGGAAGCCATTAATTAACCATTTTATTTACGCTAGAAAACGATGCAAGTCTTCAGACTTGGCTCACCCTCATTCGCTGTACGCTGTAAACCCACGATTGCAGTTATTGTATGGCTCCCTCCTCCTCCCCCCCCACTTTTTTTCTTAGCCTACTTTTGTTTTTAATGTTGTTTGGATTAGTAAAGGAAGGAAGATGAGTAAATAGAAGAATAAAGAAGGTGAAACAGAAAATAGTTGGAGATAACAGGTGCGGGGAGCTGAGTTTCATCATGCATCTGGATGCGCAGTATGAACGTTACCAGACCATTTTTGGACCTTACAGCTACAGTGTGTACATGGAAAAGGAGAAGAGAGAAAAAGATAATAACAGAAATGCATGGAGAAGATAGAAAGGGAGAAGAGAAGGAGAAGAAGAGAGACTGAAGCAATATTATCCTTAAGAGGCGAGGAAATGAGATGGGAGAGAGGGATAGTGAGAGGTGGAGGTATGAATGTAGGGATGGAAGGACAGAATAATAATGGTATAGAAGGATAGTAGAGAAGAAGACTAGAGAAGGAGACAAAGGAAGGACAGCGATAAGTAAAACAAAAATCAGAACAAGTATTTGGATGATAACATGTAGAAATTAGTCGGTGAAATGTAGGTAAAAAGAGTAAGAATAATAAGATAAAACATAAAGAAGAGACACTTATTATAACAATCACGACCATGATTATAACAACCACGACCATGATTATAACAACCAAGACTATGATTATAACAACCACGACTATGATCATAACTACGACAATGATTATAAGAACCACGACTATGATCATAACTACGACAATGATTATAACAACCACGACTATGATTATAACAACCACGACTATGATTATAACAACCAAGACTATGATTATAACAACCACGACTATGATCATAACTACGACTATGATTATAACAACCACGACTATGATTATAACAACCACGACTATGATTATAACAACCACGACTATGATTATAACAACCACGACTATGATTATAACACCCACGACCATGATTATAACAACTACGACTATGATTATAACAACCACAACTATGATTATAACAACCACGACCATGATTATAACAACCACGACTATGATTATAACAACCACGACCATGATTATAACAACCACGACCATGATTATAACAACCACGTCTATGATTATAACAACCACGACTATGATTATAACAACCACGACCATGATTATAACACCCACAACCATGATTATAACAACCACAACTATGATTATAACAACCACGACTATGATTACAACATCCACGACCATGATTATAACAACCACAACCATGATTAAAACACCCACAACCATGATTATAACAACCACAACCATGCTTATAACACCCACGACCATGATTATAACAACCACGACTATGATTATAACAACCACGACCATGATTATAACAACCACGACCATGATTATCTCATATACTATAGGAATAACCGTGTGTCTGTGTGTGTGTCTGTTCTGGGCAGCCGAAACGGCACAATCGTTTTTCATCAAACTTGGTGGAAAAATCGCAAAAAAATCGTAGAGTGGAACAAATCTGGTCCCAAGTCGATGGTTTCTTTAGGAAGGCATTAATTAACCGTTTTATTTACGCTGGAAAACGATGTCGCTGTATGCTGTCAGCCGGCCGGTGGTTGCGCGCTAGCCAATATAGAGAGTTCGAACTTTCAGCTTTGGTAAACTGTACCATCGGACTTGCCACCGAGCACGAAGGGCCCACAATCACTTGTTAATACTAGAGCTGTGAGCGTTAATAAGGAATGAAGAATATGTGTAAAGAGCTTCGTGAACACACATAAGACGTGATTGAGAGACGGGTACAAACTGCCAGATGCAGGCTACTTAAGTGCTGATTCAAGCAGTCAAGTTGCAGGGCGAACAGTGGAAAAACACTGTCACAAGTATTACTCACTGCTAGCTACCGTGGGTGATGTAATTATATGAACATAATGTATGTAGCCCATATTTATATGAGTATTAGTGTCTGTTTGACACGGGCTAATACACACACATACACGCAGCCTACTATTCAATATAGCTTAATATGGTTCCGACATAAACATAAATTATAACATGAAATCATAAAATACATCTAACTGGTGTATTAGAATTATGCTACATACAAATTTATGGAGAAACCCTTCAAATCTTTCCAATATCATAGTGTATACTGTTCCATCGATAAACAAGAAAACAAAGAGGAATGTTGCCATGTGTAATGTGCCATGTGTCATGGACTCCACTCAGTCATTTATCAATTTTTTTTAGAGACAAAGACCACTGTGAGTAAACAGAGAAACTACGCGGACACAATGACACAATATGACAAACTGGACGGAATATTATGGAAAGGATTGTTTCACATTGGTAGCTCTGCTTTCCTAATGTGGCAGTGATGTGTTATCACTTATTTCTCTAATTATTTTTTTATATATTCACAATATTTGTATCATGGAAAGTATAGCATTTAAGAAAGCACTTTTATTACATTTGCTACATTAATAATTGATAAAAGCACCCCAACCTCTATTGAGCTGTTAAGTCTCATGGGCATGGATGGTTTCCAATAACTCAGTAGTAAGGACTCTTCCCACGCCTCAAGTGCACTCACGGCAGACCATGCGTTCTCGATGGGGTTAATGTCCGGGGACTGTGGTGGATGTGGCAGTAGGGTTATTTCCGGGTATTTGACAAAACACTCTTTGACGACGTGACAGGTGTGGATGGGGCTGCTGTCTTAATAAG